TTGTGAAGTGTGATTGTTAATTAGGGCCGGTCTATGTATTCGCTGGTCGTGTTTTTGCTGCGCGTGTACACGTGTTTGTGTGTGTGTAGTATGTGTGTGTGTAGTATGTGTAGTGTGTGTGTGTAGTGTGTGTAGTGTGTGGTGTGTATAGTGTGTGTGTGTAGTGTGTGTAATGTGTGTGTGGTGTGTGTGTGTAGTGTGTGTAGTATGTGTGTATAGAATGTGTGTGTGTAGAATGTGTGTGTGTGGTGTGTGTAATGTGTGTAGTGTGTGTGTAATGTGTGTGTGGTGTGTAGTGTGTGTGGGTGTAGTATGTGTGTGTAGTGTGTGGTGGGTGTGTAGTGTGTGGTGTGTGTAGTGTGTGGTGTGTGTGGTGTGTGTAGTGTGTGTGGTGTGTGTGGTGTGTGTGTGGTATGTGTGTGTAGTGTGTGTGTAATGTGTGTGTAGTATGTGTGTGTGTAGTGTGTGTGTAGTATGTGTGAGTGTAGTTTGTGTGTGTGTAGTGTGTGTGTGCAAGCGTGGGGATTATTTGGGATATGGGATGGGGAGCAGTTACCCCCCCCGCCCCCCCGTAGACTTTTTGGATGTTGTAGGGAGTATAAGTCATAGGCTGTGTCCATTAACATAACAATGCCACTGATGTATTTACCACGGGAACTCCCCCCCCCCCGCCGCCCCGACTCTTCCCATGGGTAGAGCTGCCTCAGCGTTAAGTGGGGGGCTCTGTGCAGACCTGTGACGAGGGGGTTTCGGACAGGAGACACGGGCACACGAATGAGGTCAACACGCAGTGAAACAACTGGCTCTCTGCAGAGGTCACAGACCGCGAGAGACAAACTCGCAGAGACACTGCCAGAGATCACGCGACACGGAGAGACACAGAGAGAACGACACACACCACGTGGTCACAGAGACACACGGAGACAGACACACACCACGTGTTCACAGACACACACACCACGTGTTCACAGACACACCACGTGTTCACAGACACACGGAGACACACACACACCACGTGTTCACAGACACACCACGTGTTCACACACACACACACACCCACCACGTGTTCACAGACATACACGGAGACACACACACCACGTGTTCATAGAGACACACGGAGACACACACACTACGTGTTCACACACACCACGTGTTCACACACACACCACGTGTTCACAGACACACACCACGTGTTCACACACACCACGTGTTCACAGACACACCACGTTCACACACACACACCACGTGTTCACAGACACACACCACGTGTTCACAGACACACACCACGTGTTCACAGACACACACCACGTGTTCACAGACACACACATACCACGTGTTCACACACACACCACGTGTTCACACACACCACGTGTTCACACACACACACCACGTGTTCACACACACACACACCACGTGTTCACAGACACACACATACCACGTGTTCACACACACCACGTGTTCACACACACACACCACGTGTTCACAGACACACACCACGTGTTCACACACACCACGTGTTCACAGACACACACCAGGTGTTCACACACACCACGTGTTCACAGACACACACCAGGTGTTCACACACACCACGTGTTCACACACACACCACGTGTTCACAGACACACACCACGTGTTCACAGACACACACCACGTGTTCACAGACACACACCACGTGTTCACACACGGAGACAGAGAACATTGCGGAGGGGGGCGCGGCTCCTCGTCGAGACGCCCCCACCGCCCATGACTTCTCTCCCCCCAACCTCCAATTGCTCCCCCCCCCCCCCCACGTGCGCGTGACCTTCTTACACCCCCCCCCCACTCCTACGTCGCTGTGCTCGTGCGTGTCTCGTCGTCGCTAATTGATTAATTGACTGGTCATTGCCGCGCGCCTCTGGATGTCTCGGTTCCCCGTGGGGTGTCCCTCCTGCTCCCCGGGCCGTGGCTCAGCGTCTGAGCCCCCCCCCCCCCACTGCCCAGCCCCCCTCAATGTGACCCCCCCTCTCTATCCGCACCTACTCCACCCATACCGCTGTGAGTGATGCGGTTTTTTATATAAAAAATAAAACTGTGGAGAAAAGAAAACCCCGGATGTGGATTTCTGTTAAACGGAGCATGGAAGAGCGCAGTGCACTGCGCTGATTGGTGATCATGATTGGTGATGATGTTTGGTGATGATTGATGATTGTGATAGGTGATGATTGGTGATAATGTTTGGTGATGATTGATGATTGTGATAGGTGATGATTGGTGATAATGTTTGGTGATGATTGATGATTGTGATCGATGATGGTAATTTGTCGTGACTGGTGATTATTGTAAAGTTGGCGAACTTGACGATGATGATGAGTACGATGATGATGAATGTTGATGAATGTCACTCCAGATAATGCTGATTCCTGCTGATGATGTTGCTGATCGTGATGATGACAATCATGCATTCATGATGAGTACTGATTGATTATATTGAGGATTATGCTGCTGATGATAATAACGCATTCATGGTGATTACTGATTCATTATTTTGAAGATTGTGCTGCTGATGATAATAATTCATTCATGATTACTGATTTATGATTTTGAGAATTACGCTGTTAATAATGATGCTGCTGATGATGTTGATATCCATCGCTGCACATTGCCTCCCTTGCGATCGCTCTCCCGTTCAGAAAGGCTCTGCTATCACTGCGCCTGAATACATATGTCACGTTATTGTGTTTGCGAATTGCATCTTACAACGCAGAGAAGAAACCACAGGGAAGCCGGACGGCAGGCAAGCCAGTCCCAAGCTCTGCAGTCCTCTGTGTATGAAGATGTTTTCAACCAATGAAAATGTATATCTATATACATACGGGAGGGAAACTGGAGCACCCGGAGAAAATGCACTCGTGCGAGGGGGCAACACGCTATCCCGCACACATTGGACAGGTGGAGACGTGAGTCCGCACTGGGCTGCACCGCCCCCTTGCGGCGAGCCAGGGTACAGCACCTCCTCGGCGCACACGGCGAAGGGAGTTTGACTACGTCCGTGTGTGACCCACCAACCCTCGCAGCTGCTGCTGCTGCCGCCTCCACAGCGCTGGGTGACGGCAGCCGCGTGCGTGGCCACCACCAACCACCACCAACCACCACCACCACCACCACCAACCACCAACCACCACCACCACGACAGCCGTCAGGGGTCGCGTGTTCAGGGACCTACGGAGTCACAAGATACAACAAAGTGGGCAAATCGCCTCCTCCACACATTCCTGTCCATCCATATATATAAATATATAACACGTTGACACACCCTATCGGCTCAATTGCACTTGAAATTAAAGCGAAGTAATTAACGTTGTACACAGTCACCCATTCACTCGGCTTGGAGCGTGAAGATTCTCATCCCTCCGCATTCAGCAGCACGCCTTGAGCTCGTACTGAGATTCTGTTGCTGCTACTGCAAATGTCCACACGACCACAGCCACTTGGCTGAGCTATCACTCGGGGCCAGGTCGCTTCGGACAAAATAAGTTCATACCTCGGGGCGTTTTGCTTGGTAAGATAAAAAAAAATGTGTTTAGTTTTATTGGTTTATATATATTTTAGTTGTGTATTTATTTTATTTGTGTATGTTTTATTTGTATTAATATGTTTATTGGTATATATTTTATTTGTGTATATATTTTATTTGTGTATGTTTTATTTGTATTAATATGTTTATTGGTATATATTTTATTTGTGGAATTAACAAGAGATTCTGAAAACCTCGGACCTGACACCTGCAACACGGAGATCAATCAAGACGGAGGTAAACCCCCCTAACCTGACACCCACCACTTCAAACCCCCCTCGATCTGGCGGTAAACCCTCTGAGCTGACACCCACCGCTTCTAACTCCACTCGATCTGGCGGTAAACCCTCTGAGCTGACACCCACCGCTTCTAACTCCACTCGATCTGGCGGTAAACCCTCTGAGCTGACACCCACCGCTTCTAACTCCACTCGATCTGGCGGTAAACCCTCTGAGCTGACACCCACCGCTTCTAACTCCACTCGATCTGGCGGTAAACCCTCTGAGCTGACACACACCGCTTCTAACTCCACTCGATCTGGCGGTAAACCCTCTGAGCTGACACCCACCGCTTCTAACTCCACTCGATCTGGCGGTAAACCCTCTGAGCTGACACCCACCGCTTCTAACTCCACTCGATCTGGCGGTAAACCCTCTGAGCTGACACCCACCGCTTCTAACTCCACTCGATCTGGCGGTAAACCCTCTGAGCTGACACCCACCGCTTCTAACTCCGCTCGATCTGGAGGTAAACCCTCTGAGCTGACACGCACCCGGCGCTGTGCGAATCGTCGCCGCCCCCGCCCACGAATGAGCGCTGGGAGATGCAAAGAGGCGGCGCTGCGGCTTCCTGCTCGCCAGTCGAGTCGCCGCCGTCTCCCCGCTCGCTCCCACTCCGGTAAGAGCCCCCTGGACCCCTGGACCCCCTGGACCCCTGGACCCCCTGAACCCCTGGACCCCCTGAACCCCTGGACCCCCTGGACCCCCTGAACCCCCTGAACCCCCTGGACTCCCTGAACCCCTGGACCCCCTGGACCCCTGGACCCCCTGGACCCCCTGAACCCCCTGAACCCCTGGACCCCCTGAACCCCTGGACCCCTGGACCCCCTGGAACCCTGGACCCCCTGAACCCCTGGACCCCCTGAACCCCTGGACCCCCTGAACCCCTGGACCCCCTGAACCCCTGGACCCCCTGAACCCCTGGACCCCCTGGACCCCCTGAACCCCCTGGACCCCTGGACCCCTACCCCCCTGGACCCCCTGAACCCCTGGACCCCTGGACCCCCTGGAACCCTGGACCCCTGCCCCCCTGGACCCCCTGGACCCCCTGGACCCCTGGACCCCTACCCCCCTGGACCCCCTGAACCCCTGGACCCCTGGACCCCCTGGAACCCTGGACCCCCTGGACCCCCTGGACCCCCTGGACCCCTGAACCCCTGGACCCCTGAACCCCTGGCCCCCTCCCTGCTCAGGGGCACTTTGGGCGCGGGGCGATTCGCGTCTCGCGTGGCGGTTTCCCCCGGGCCCGACCTCCACCCCTCCACCACCTCGGCCGGGAACGGCGCCCCTAACCCCGCGGGTATTTCAGGCAAAGGCGGGCTGCTGAAGTTGTGAGTTGAGGGCCAAACCCCTCCCTGATTCAAACTTAAGCTTTGTATATATTACCTAAATTCATATAGTAAATAATTACAATTAAAGTTAACAGTCGGTGTCGTATTTTGATTTGACTCGATGTGTATAACACGTTTGGCAATTTTATTTATACAGTAATATAAAGGGCTTCTGCCCGAAACGGCGGCGATATTATCTACGTATATGTTCATGTTGTGTGTAGGTGTGTGTGTGTTGTGTAGGTGTGTGTGTGTTGTGTAGGTATTGTGTAGGTGTGTGTGTTGTGTAGGTATTGTGTAGGTGTGTGTGTGTTGTGTAGGTATTGTGTAGGTGTGTGTGTGTGTTGTGTAGGTATTGTGTAGGTGTGTGTGTGTGTTGTGTAGGTATTGTGTAGGTGTGTGTGTGTGTAGGTATTGTGTAGGTGTGTGTGTGTTGTGTAGGTATTGTGTAGGTGTGTGTGTGTTTTGTAGGTATTGTGTAGGTGTGTGTGTGTTTTGTAGGTATTGTGTAGGTGTGTGTGTGTGTAGGTATTGTGTAGGTGTGTGTGTGTTGTGTAGGTATTGTGTAGGTGTGTGTGTGTGTAGGTATTGTGTAGGTGTGTGTGTGTGTAGGTATTGTGTAGGTGTGTGTGTTGTGTAGGTATTGTGTAGGTGTGTGTGTTGTGTAGGTATTGTGTAGGTGTGTGTGTTGTGTTGTGTCGGTATTGTGTAGGTGTGTGTGTGTGTAGGTATTGTGTAGGTGTGTGTGTGTTGTGTAGGTATTGTGTAGGTGTGTGTATGTTGTGTCGGTATTGTGTAGGTGTGTGTGTTGTGTCGGTATTGTGTAGGTGTGTGTGTTGTGTTGTGTAGGTATTGTGTAGGTGTGTGTGTGTGTAGGTATTGTGTAGGTGTGTGTGTGTGTTGTGTAGGTATTGTGTAGGTGTGTGTGTTGTGTCGGTATTGTGTAGGTGTGTGTGTTGTGTCGGTATTGTGTAGGTGTGTGTGTTGTGTAGGTATTGTGTAGGTGTGTATGTTGTGTAGGTATTGTGTAGGTGTGTGTGTGTTGTATTGGTATTGTGTAGGTGTGTGTGTGTGTTGTGTAGGTGTGTGTGTGTGTTGTGTAGGTGTTGTGTAGGTATTGTGTAGGTGTGTGTGTTGTGTAGGTATTGTGTAGGTGTGTGTGTTGTGTAGGTATTGTGTAGGTGTGTGTGTTGTGTAGGTATTGTGTAGGTGTGTGTGTTGTGTCGGTATTGTGTAGGTGTGTGTGTTGTGTAGGTATTGTGTAGGTGTGTGTGTTGTGTTGTGTCGGTATTGTGTAGGTGTGTGTGTTGTGTTGTGTCGGTATTGTGTAGGTGTGTGTGTGTGTAGGTATTGTGTAGGTGTGTGTGTGTGTAGGTATTGTGTAGGTGTGTGTGTTGTGTCGGTATTGTGTAGGTGTGTGTGTTGTGTAGGTATTGTGTAGGTGTGTGTGTTGTATTGGTATTGTGTAGGTGTGTGTGTGTGTTGTGTAGGTGTGTGTAGTGTGTGTTGTGTAGGTGTTGTGTAGGTGTGTGTGTTGTGTAGGTGTGTGTGTTGTGTAGGTATTGTGTAGGTGTGTGTGTGTTGTGTCGGTATTGTGTAGGTGTGTGTTGTGTCGGTATTGTGTAGGTGTGTGTGTGTTGTGTAGGTATTGTGTAGGTGTGTGTGTGTTGTGTAGGTATTGTGTAGGTGTGTGTTGTGTAGGTATTGTGTAGGTGTGTGTGTGTTGTGTCGGTATTGTGTAGGTGTGTGTGTTGTGTAGGTATTGTGTAGGTGTGTGTGGTGTGGTGTTGGGTGTAGGTGTGTGTGTTGTGTAGGTGTGTTGTGTAGGTGTGTGTTGTGTGTGTGTGTTGTGGTGTCGTGTAGGTGTGTGTAGGGGTGTGTGTTTATGCTGTGTAGGTTGATGTTTATCATTTGAGGGCAGTATTATTGTGCGCCACCGCCACCGCAGCAGGCTCGCAATGTTACGTCCGTAGACTTATCGCAAAGATCACAACGCCGCAGAACTGGGCACGGCAAGTCTCTACAGCTCCCACTTTTACACAGCAGATTCACTGCCGCGGTCGTTCCCTCAAGGCCCCCCGGGCGAATTGGCTGGACAAAGCCAACGCCGCCTTGGCTGTGCGTGCAGCGGCGACCTCGGGGACGTGAGCGCGCCTCGAGGTGCTGTCCATGGCAGGTGGCGTCTTGTCAGAGGCGGGGCCTGGTGCCTGGACTCCCACGCTAGCGGCAGGGGGTCGGGTGGCTGGGTGATGGCAGTGCCAGACCGTAGGGGCAGCAGCACGGAGAACTGGTGATCTCCCCCTGGGTGACTGTTGACTAGGGAAGGATGAGCGAGAGGGAGTGTGGAGGGGAGTAGAGTGAGACGAGAGGGGTAGGAGAGTGTGTGGAGGTGAGTAGAGTGAGATGAGAGGGGTAGGAGAGTGTGTGGGGGTGAGTAGAGTGAGATGAGAGGGGTAGGGGAGTGCGTGGAGGTGAGTAGAGTGAGATGAGAGGGGGAGGCAGGGCTGCGTCCAAGGAGGATCTTGAAGGCGCTGAGTGCGGATTGCAGTGGGAGTCAGTGGGGGGGTGGGGAGGGGTTGCCGTGTGGGTGCCACGTGCTCTTGTTTACGGGTGCAGGTGAGGGTGTTGGCAGCGGCATGTGGGAGCACTGCCCAGGCCCCCAGGATGAGTTCCACCAGCCCTGCCCGTGGCTTGTGGATCAAACTGTTCCCTTTGGTTATTTCCACAACTTAATTCGCCGCAAACTGTGCACACACATGGGCTGCGTTTGCGGGTTGACGTAATGGTCAACTACGCAGCGCCTTGGTGGTTTCCCCCCACGGTCGGCGATTGGGTCATAGGCACCACCACCACTCTTGCCCACAATCGGATGGGAAGGAAATAACGCGACATCGGGAACGTAAATTATGATGGCACAACACGAACACAGCGGAGAGTTATGTATTCCACATGGGCAGATGAACAGCACACAGTGTGCCGATACATTTGAAGTCTTTCGTAAGTATATTAACATACAGGGTGCTTTAAAAAATGTTTTAACACTTATATGGGACTATTGTTTTTAATGGAAAAAGATCTGATACACTAACATGATAACAAATGCATGTTAATAGCTTCAAAAAGTCAGAGTTTCTACTTCGCCATCATTGTCAACACGTGCCTGGAATCTTCTCCAGGTGATCTCCAGAGCCCGGGGGCAGTACATTTCTCGTGGTGTTGTTGAAAATTCTCAGAAGTAGTAGAACATTTTTTGACGCACCCTGTACGATCCTGAAAGAATCGTCATCAGATGCGATGTATCCACTGTTGCACGAAGGCCCCACCAAGTTGTTGCCATCTGTCACGGTCCCGCAACATACGAACCCAGCAGCTGCACACGCCCCGACCTCCTGGTCCACCTCTACAGCCGGATGTCCTCTCAGTTGTTTCTCTCTTTTGATTTCCACTCCGTCGTGGGCCTTGACCACGGGCCACCATGATAACGGTTACCACCTTGGAGCTACGCGGGACCGCCAGATGGCGACGACCTGGCGAGGCCTTCGTCCAGCAGTGGATAGAGCTCGGCCGACGATGACGAAGATGACCACTTGGCTCCGAGGCGCTAACAGAGATGAGCGCTGACCCCATTGCGCATTTGAAAACGGGCGGCACTTGGGCTGGGACGTGAAGTGTTGCTGGAGGGGAGGAGCGTTGTGCCCGGGTGTGTGCAATTTACGAGGCGCGCCATGGGTAGGGAAGGGCAAGGGCAGCCTCACCTGAAACGGCCGATTGGTTCAGGCTGTTTAACTCGTGACAAGTTCCTGAACGGATCGCCAGAAAAGCAAATGGTACTCACCCAGGGTTCGGCATCCTGCGGCGTCTCTTCAACGACTGCTTCGTGACGTGATTTATTAAGGGCCACTGTCTCGTATTCACCACACAGTGCATATATTGTTTATTTTTTCTGAATTCCAAAACAATGGCTTCTCTTATGTTGGTGGCTATCGCCCATGCTCACACATCTAATTGATCTCGGTTTCACCAGGAAACGCAAACAGCCCACGAAGACAAAACACATCAACACGATCCACATCAACACGATCCACATCAACACATCAACACGATCCACATCAACACATCAACACGATCCACATCAACATATCATCACGATCCACATCAACACGATCCACATCAACACGATCCACATCAACACATCTACACGATCCACATCAACACGATCCAAGCGCGGTTCTCCGGGTTGAGTAGCGCATCTTAGCATCTCTTCTCTCATGCTTTTGCCGCGCGATGCCGGGTGGCAGTGGCATGTGGCCGAAACTCGGGAGATGAAATGTTCACAAGAACGCAGTCCGACCTGGAGAACCACACTGGGATTACAATCTGCCGATACAGCTTTGCGTGTCTGAATGTCAACACACGGACCTCGCTTGCAAGGGGTGATCTGGGGTGAATGACGACCGACACCGGAATTTAGTTAGAACCAGGTGTGGGAATCTACGGCTTGTGGATTTATTTCATGTGGCGTGCCACCACGTAAAGCGCATCGCTCTCGGATCGGCCTGCAAGCGATTTTGGCCGTTATCCGTCACTGCAACCGTGACCGCTTCGTTCCGATGATCGACCCGGTCTCGAGTGATTGCCGGGTGCGGTGTGTTAAAATCAGCACCGGGGATACAAAGGTGGCCGAGCGTGGTGCTGTCCACACACCCTCTCGTGTGCCGTGACGAATTTAATACGTGTTCGCACTTGCCCCGGCGGTCTGTGACAGCTATTTGGGGGATCTTTACCTTAATTGAACACGGTGTAAATTATTGCTTATGTGCACTGCACTCGGGCAGGTACATGAGCGTTATAATTAAATTGCCCCCTGGCATACATTTCTCTCCGATTGTGACATGACCGGCTGGGCAGGCGTGTGTGGTCTCTGGTGTGGGGTGTGAATGCACAATGGGGCGTGGTGGCGGCCGTAGTGGTTAGGAACACTGCACTACAAACCAGGACACCTGGGTTCGATTCCCTCTCACGGCCAACATTGGTGATATGTATTTCTGAAATGGTCCTGGGCGTCCCCTAATTATAATTACTTGGTGTGGCGTTTAAACATCAGCACCGGGGAGACAAAGGTGGCGGGACATGGTGCTGACCACACAACATCCTAGTCGGTGCCATGCCGGCCTTCGTAGGCGCTCACCTCATGAGTCTACAAAACTACAGGGGGTGTGTTTATCTTTTATAGTGAGTAGAATAGTAGTTACTCGTTTGTTATAATGACTTGGGAGTGGTCGAGTCAGGAGGAGTGATGGTTGCGAGGCAATTACAACAGTAATGTTTGTATGTATGCTGAACTTCTTTCGCACTGTACGTAGCCAGCCGTGCAAACCGGAGGTGCAACCATAAGTCATAATTATGCCTTGAGGGATGTGATTTAATGAATGGCTTTTGCGGTGTGTGGTAAAATCATACGTTCTTGTTGTTGTTGTTCTTGTGGTTGAGTGTACGGCGGGTCTCACCGCCGAACCATGGGGGATGGTACAATGCGCTGTCGACAACATCCTTGGCGGACTCTCCCCTGCCTACCTCTTCCTTTCTCATCTGGTTCAACTCCCTTCCACCGACTCGTCGCTCCAGCGTCCAAGACTTGCTGTCAAACCCCCCACTCAGTGGGAGGTCGCTCATTCTCCTCTGTGGTCCCCATTGACCGGAACGCTCTTCCCTCGGCCTTCCGCGCCGTCGATTCCCAGCCCTCTTTTTGTAATGTCCAGGCCCGAGGAATTCCTTTCCTCGTCTGCCAATGACCGACAGCTCCAGCAACCAAGCAAGGCCCTCCGTCAATGCCCTCTGTCGGCCAACACTCACTCCACGGGTGGTCGCTCCTCCTCTTCTGCTGCTTCCAGAAGGCACATTCTCTTGCTGTGTCCACTTTCACAACCCTCCTCATCTTCAAGTCCAGACTCAAGACCCCTCCCTCTTCTCGTCTGCTTGTGACTGATATCTCTCTGTGTGTGAAGTGTCTCCCCATTCACACTTCTCGCTTCGCGTCATTTCAATTCTCTCTCTGGCCTATAGGATTCCTTTTTTTTATAGGCTTGCGTCCGAACTGCCACATCCTCCACGTCCACACACAATGCGTCCATATTGTGTCCCGGCGCCGGTTTGTTCGCCGTGTGATGAGGCGTGACCGGTTTCCGGAATCCATCTCGTTCTGAATGCCGCATTTCCCAGCAGCAGCAGCAACAGCAGCAGCGCCGCTCCATTTTCTGCACAGGAAGTCATGTGGCAGGAACTTTAGCAGCGCATGGTTTATTTTATGTGCGTGTAGATTTGCCATTAGGTGTTTGCTATTGGGTGCCACGGCGAGATGTTAACTACCTCACCTGGTGCACAGGAGGTCGTGGGTTTGATCCCGACCCTGACGCCTGCTGTATATTTGGAATTTGCATGTTCTCTCTCTCTCCCCGTGGTCACGTAGATTTTCTCCAGGTCCTCCAGTTCTTCCCTCCACATTTAGAATCATGCATTCAAAGTATTTGGCTGCAATAAACGTTAAGCCACTTCTTTGAGCTATCATTTGTGGCCAGGTCGCTCCTGAAAGAAAAAAACAGCTTTAAAAAGCTCAATGGGCCTTACACCTGAGCTCGTGGATACGCGGCTACGTCCGCCGGTGTACAACGTCGCCTCGCGAGCCCTACGGCCGACTTGCCGTTATATGACCAACGTCGCCCCTGCACGCACCCGCTGGGAGGCCGCCACTGCCGCGCAACCGGAGACGATTGGCGCCAACCCGAGTCTTCTGCCGAACGTCGATGTCTCCCGCCCGCACTGCTGCCCGCCATCGCGGCACCCGCTGCCGACAGACGCTCTCCGCCAAGTAACGGTGGCGCCCGTCGTTCAACAAGGAAGCGATTGCTCGTAGGGCGTCCTACGGTCCGCCCGCTTTGTTTGATCTCTCGGCGTCGTGACCGGGCCCCGGTCAGCAGAGTTCCGAACCGGCCAAGACCCGCGTGCGTCGAGCCTGGACAGGCTTGGCTTGAGTGACAACCCGGACCCGAGCCGTGGTGCCGGGTGGACGGTGACGCGCATCGTTGAAGATGGTGGCGAGCGCCACACTGCGCCACAAACCTGAGCGACCAGAGTTCGATTCTCACTCGCAGCCAACACCAGTGGCCATTTATCTGCCCCTGGGCCTCCCCAGGTTGGCTCGCCTGTAAACGAGTACCTGGTGCGCTACTGGAGACGAAGGCTGCCGGACGTGGTGCTCGCCACACCATCCCCTCGTGTGCCACGCAGTCCTTAATAGGTTCTCGCTAGCAGCACTCGCCCCAACCGTTTCATAAGGCTGTACAGGAGATCTTTGTCTTTTGTTGTTTGTGTGCGCTCGCCAAGTTTATGGTACTTGCCGCAACAGTCTGTGTCAGCTACACGGGGCTCTTTATGTTCCTGCTTCTGTGCGTTCGCGTGTGACCGGGCGTTCGGAATAACTCTGCGGTGACTTCATCACTGTCATGAGTAGCAAGTGGTTGTTGTTTGACACTTATTGTGACCAGACACCGGACACACAGCGCCACCGTCTCACGTCCCGTGCTCGCACGACCCCACCCACCCCTCCTACCAGCAGCGATCTAGCTATTGAGTGTGCAGGCGGTGCGACTGAACTGGAAGCCGTGGCAATCGCTACAAACTAGGGTTGTAAAGCGTTAACCCGTAAGCCGGTGAGCGATTTCATAAACTGATGGAGTTTTTTGTAACGAATGCATCGATTGGCTCGTGCAAACGTACAAACTCGCCCTCGTTTCTCAGCTGAAAGGTAAAGGTGCATCCCCTGCAATTGCTCGCTCACGCCACCGCTGGCGGAAGAGCCTCCACTGGTGGGTACTCTCAAGGGTATTTGGTCTATTCCTCCACACTGACCAGACATTTTTGAGTAATCGACCTAACCACCGTTTATCCCACCACACGCGACCCACTGACCGCCCGTGGTGCAACCGTTTGTACCGCTGGGTGGACGGAGGTGGGGGGGGGCTGGAGTGAGGGAGGGAGGAGGGTTCAAGAAACTCGTCCAGGTTTAAACCGCCGCGCCACGAGATCGAACCGGCAGCCTCTGGATCGCAAGTCCAGTGCCCTACTCGTGACACCACTGTTGCATATCTCAGTTTACAAAGTTGAACACGTTGTTTTCACCGCTCCGGACGTTTGTGTGTGTGTGTATATGTGTGTGTGTGTGTGTGTATATGTGTGTGTGTGTATATGTGTGTGTGTATGTGTGTGTATATGTGTGTGTGTATATGTGTGTGTGTATATATATATATATGTGTGTGGATAAATGGCATTAAATCGTCGTTCCCGTCATTTTCCTGGCGCTTACCGCAAACGCGCCCCCCCCCCCGCCCCTCTCGCCGCCCTCGCCGCCAGGCTCCGCAGCGGAAGGCACGGCACCCGGCACGGCACCCGGCACGGCACCGGCACGCCAGCCGGCATGGCCGAGCCGCTGGCGAGCAGCGAGGAGAACAGCCGGCGCATCGCGCGCATCGAGAGCTGCTTCGGCGCGGCGGGGCGCCCGCTGATGGCGCCGGGCCGGGTGCTCGTGGGCGAGGGGACGCTCACCAAGCTGTGCCGCAAGGGCCCCAAGCCGCGGCAGTTCTTCCTGTTCGACGACATTGTGGTGTACGGCGCCGCCGTGCTGGGGAGCCGGCGCTACGCCAACCAGCGCGTGCTGGCGCTGGAGGCGGTGGCCATCTGCACCCTGCCGGACGAGGGCGAGCTGAGCAACGGCTGGCTCGTGCAGACGCCCGCCAAGTCGTTCAAAGGTGAGCGGCGGCGGGTGAGGAGGGGGCGGGGGGGTGTCACGGTGAGGTGGGGGTTAAGGGGGGTGATGGTGAGATTGGGGGTGAGCGGGTGGGTGAGTGAGTGTAGGTGAGCGGGTGATGGTGAGAGTAAGATTCATGGAGAGTGATGTTTAGTATTGAAAGTGGCATAAGTTGAGGGTTTGTGAGGGTTGAGATCCTGAGCGTAAGGGTGAGTGAGCGGGTAAGGGTGAGACTGGGAGAGTGAGTGAGGGTGAGGTGTGGGCGAGTGAGTGTGAATAAGGCGGAGAGATAGCGGTGAGAGGCCTGGAGTCGACAGATTAGCGGCGGAGGCAGTGTGATCCACCCCGCAGTGTCACGCGACGTCCTAACGCCTGCACACACGTCGCACGCCACCTTCACGGTGAGAGAACCGCTCATGCGTCATCACGCACCGCTCACGCACCGCTCACGCACCGCTCACGCACCGTCACGCACCGTCACGCACCGTCACGCACCGTCACGCACTGTCACGCACCGTCACGCACCGTCACGCACCGTCACGCACCGCTCACGCACCGCTCACGCACCGTCACGCACCGTCCCAGTCTTCACCGCACCGTCGTTCCGCAGTGTTTGCCGCGACAGAGTCGGAGCGCGCCGAGTGGATCAGCCACATCGAGCGGTGCGTGCGCGAACTGCGCGCCAAGCGCGGCCTGCCTCCCCTGCCGGCGCCGTGCAATTCGCCGGGCCCCGGCGGCGCCTCCTCCTCCACGGCGGCGGTGATCGCGGCGGCGTCTCCCGCCGACGGCTCGGAGCCGGCAGCGTGGTGGGTGCCCGACTCGTCGGCTTCGGCGTGCATGCGGTGCCAGCGCTCGCGCTTCAACGCCCTCAACCGGCGGCACCACTGCCGCAAGTGCGGCATCGTGGTGTGCGGCGCCTGCTCCGACCGGCGCTTCCTGCTGCCCAGCCAGTCGTCGCGCCCGCTGCGCGTCTGCATCGGCTGCTTCGACTCCCTCACCGCCGCCGCCGTGATGGCGCCGGCCGGGCCGTGCTCCTCCTCCGCCGCCGACGACCTGGTGGACAGGGTCGCCAAGGTAACCGTCGCCAACGGCAACCGGGGATCGTCTGGCGCCGCGGAGGAAGGCCGGCCGGCGGTGTCGCGAGGTCGCCGCGGTGACGGCGCGAGGACCTCCAACGGAACGCAGGACTCCTCCGACGACGATGACGACGACGACGACGATGACGGTGGTGACGGCGGTCGAGAGGGTGGCAGCGGTGAGGATTGGGCAGATAGAAGTCCCATTGGCAATCGCACTGGGTTCTACTCATGAGGCTGCGGGTGAGAGGCTATTGGGGTGAGGGTTTAGTGGTGTGACTGTTGGAGTGTGACTCTGTCTGTGGGCGTGTGAGGCTATAGGTTATTGAGGCTTGGGGTGAGTGAGGCTGTAGGCGAGGTGAGGCTGTGGGCGTGTGAGGCTGTATTCAACAGGGTTGTAGTGAACAGGGCTTTAGGCAAGTCGGGTTGTAGCCTTATTACTCCCGACCCTGGCCATGTGAAACTTTCCGCTATAATCGCTGCTCTCTATACGATGCCGTGTGTACTCTAAATCAACCCGCGTGGCTTAGCACTCCCCAGCATGACTGGACACCTTGTATGCATTGTGCCTGTCTTTAGCATGTGGTGATGATGAAGAATAGTAATAATTGACTGTTGCACTTCTGTACTGAATTAGACAGAGTCTGTGCTAGCGGCTACTGTGTGAAACCTTTATACACTCTTTCAGCTATGCAGTGCCATTGGCAACTATTAACTACAACCAAAGTTAACTCTGTCCAAACGACTAACCCTTTGCCTCCATTCCAAGTGCAGTCATCCAGCGTGAGCGCTTCGTGGTGGGTCACCCGGAGTAACGCCCCACACCTGGATGGGTGACCGCCACCGTGCGTACGTAGCAGGTTGGCAGAGGAGGGGGGGGGGGGGGCTTGCAGGGGCTGCGTTGTGGGCAGCAGAGGGCGGTGAAGCATCATCCGTTGTTGGTGCTCCTCTCTGCTCCTCTGCTCTCACGTCAACAACCCCTCCACTGCTCCCCACCACCTCCACAAACCCATGAAGGGTGATCACTTGACCCCCACGACCCTGCACGGCCAGCAGACGGTCGACAAGAGCTGTGGCGGTGTGCGTGATGCTCTGTGCGAGTGTGCAGCAAAGTGGCAGTGCGCGTGCGTACGTAGGTGCGCGTGTTGAACTTTCTTTCTTAGCACCGCCCGTAGCCAGCCATGCTTATCAGAGGCGCGGGGATGATGCCGGTTGGGAGTGCAGCAATGCTGTCCGTCGTTCGTGGCGGTCGTCTGTGTGGTTTTTTGTTTATTTGTTTGTCGCTTAAGTAAAAGCGGCGTAATCTGAATTGGGAGCCGGGCGGTCCGTGAATGTAAAGCGCCCGCCCCCTCGTGGCCCGGAAACGTCGGAGATTTTTCGAGAGAGGACAACGCGGCTCAAAACGCAACGGCTCCTTTACCTTGTAGCCACGCACGGTACCTCAAGTTTGAAGTCTCCGCTGATGAGAACAACAACAACAATATGAAGCGTTTTCAAGTCGCCGGCAGTAATGCCGACGGATTTGAGACCGCACGAGGAGGCCAGCCTGGTGGGCTCGGAAGCCAGCACGGCCGAGCTCCTGGCTTCAGTGGGACTCTCGCGGTTTGAGCCGCCCGCCGTGGATTGAACCGGGCTCCTCGGGCGGAGCGAGACGATGGCGTTGTCTCCGCCAAACAAACCAACCGTGGCCACCGTAGGCCGTGTAGCTACGAGGTGAGGGAGCTGGCCACGTCCTTTTGGGTTGCGTCTCCCTTGAGGCGGCACGCGGTGCCGGACAACTACTGATGTAGCACACTGACTTGGCACTCGCGGCGGGGGCAGTGGCGTGTCGCGGTGGTTGTAGCGTAGGTGCTGGCGCAAGGAGTTAAATGGGGCCTTCTCCCCCCCCCCCCGGGTCCAATTTCCTCCCCCTCCGTAGCCTGGGCCGCTGTGCAGTTGCACCGCCTGCGCACTCGATAGCCACGCCACTGCCCGTCGTCCAGCGTGTGCGCGCGTAACCCTGTAGAGCGTCTGCCCTGTGGAATGTACTCGTTCACTAACTGTTGATTGATGCTAATAATAACATGATAGATGCTTTACATTAAACGGTCTGTATTGGCATGTTTTGGTGTTGGCACTGAAGCATGTGGCTGAATGTATATCTATATATATAAAATCGTTCATGTCTGTGTGTCTGTGTGTGTGTGTGGACTGCACTTTCATTGGACGGCGGTTGCCCCTGGCAACGGCTAGCCACGCCTTCGCCGCTTTCATTGGACGGCGGTTGCCCCTGGCAACGAGTAGCAACTTTTCTCCGCGGGGTGGACGCCATTTTTAATAGCGCGGGGGGGGGGGGGGGGGGACCGGCACCCGTACCCAGCGTTCGCCGGGTGGGAAAATCAGGCAAGGCGGGAGGCTCTGCACGGTGCTAGGCCTCGACACCCAACACGCCACTCTGAGGTAAATTCATACAAATTTCACGTCCTCTACAGAGTGGCGAGGGAGGCAGAGTGGCGAGGGAGGCAGAGTGGCGAGGGAGGGACTCAGCCTCAAAACGAGTAACTGGTGTGGCGTATTAACATCGCCACTGGGGAGACAAAGGCGGCCGGGCGTGGTGGATACAAGTCCCGGGCAAAGCCGGGTCATGACTATGTGTGTATGTGTTTATGTGTATGTCTGTGTGTCTGTATGTATGTGTGTATGTATGTGTCTGTATGTGTTTGTGTGTATGTATGTGTGTGTCTGTATGTATGTGTGTGTGTATTGTGTTTGTGTGTATGTATGTGTGTGTTTGTATGTATGTGTATGTTTGTGTGTATGCATGTGTGTGTATGTGTTTGTGTGTATGTGCGGTTATGTATGTGTGTGTATGTGTGTGTCTGCAGCAAGCGCGTGTATGTGTACCTATGGACGCGCGCGCGTGTGTTGTGTAGGGGGAACGGTAGTGTAGTGCTTAGCGTACTGCCTGTGTATGTGTGTGTGTCTGTGTGTGTGTGTCTGTGTGTGTGTGTCTGTGTGTGTGTGTCTGTGTGTGTGTGTCTGTGTGTGTGTGTCTGTGTGTGTGTGTCTGTGTGTGTGCGTGTGTGGTGTGTAGGAGGAACGGTAGTGTAGTGCTTAGCGTGCTGCCTGTGTGTGTCTGTGTGTGTGTGTGTCTGTGTGTGTGTGTCTGTGTGTGTGTGTCTGTGTGTGTGTCTGTGTGTGTGTCTGTGTGTGTGCGTGTGTGGTGTGTGGGGAGCGGTAGTGTAGTGGTTAGCGTGCTGTCTGTGTGTCTGTGTGTGTGTGTCTGTCTGTGTGTGTGTTCTGTGTGTGTGTCTGCGTGTGTGGTGTGTGGGGAGCGGTAGTGTAGTGGTTAGCGTGCTGTCTTTGTGTCTGTCTGTGTCTGTCTGTGTGTTTCTGCGTGTGTCTGTGTGTGTGTGCGTCTGTGTGTGTGAGGAGCGGTGGGTGTAGTGGTTAACGCTACGCTGCGCTACCAACCCGGCGAACCGAGTTAGATTCCCGCTCATGGCCACCACCGATCAAGATTATTCGAACCTCACATAGGTCGACTCAGCCTCAAACGAGTAACTCGTGTGGCGTATTAACATCGCCACTGGGGAGACAAAGGCGGCCGGCCGTGGTGGATACAAGTCCCGGGCGAAGCCGGGTAGTACAGCTAGTATTATATATTTTTTAAAACACACACACACTTGTCCCAGTACTGTAATAGGGGGGCACGCTGTCCACCCGCGTCTCTGCGGCTTGGCCTGGTGTAGCGGTGATGAATACCCTTTGGGCTTGCTCTCCGCGCGCGCATCCTACGGTTTAGTTGTTGTGGTTGTCGTATTACTGTCACGGTGTCGTGACCGTCGCCCCCGTTGTCCAAGGGAAATAAAAGGGCACCACTGCTGCGAGCTGTCGTTGACGTGGAGAGTTTTGAGAAGTGTGTGTGTGCGTGAGTGAACTTTTTTAGCGCCGTACGTTTCCGACCGTACTAATCGGAGGTGCGGGGAAGACATTCCAGGGACATTTGGACGTCTTCACGGCTGGGGCCAAGGTGGTGCAGCCCAGATTAACAAAAAAAACTTAAAATATATTTTACCAGGTAAGGCCCACGGAGCGATGTCGCTCTTTTTCAGAAGCGACCTGCCGACAAGTGATAGCGAAGTGGCTTATCACGTGGACATTTATAGCAGCCAAATACTCTTAAATGCGCGATGTTGATTCTAAATGTGGAGGGAAAAAACTGGAAGACCTGGAGAAGAATCCACGCGACCACGGGGAGAGAGAGAGACGCGATGCCCAACTTGGGAGCTGGTCATTAAGGGCCATGATTGACCCAGCCAGGGTGTGGTGCTGGTGGCACGGGCGCCGCCGGTGCACCGTATGAAATGTTCCTCCACCACCACTGTCCGATTTCCCCTCCCCCGTCTTTGTAACCCTGCGCCTGGGCCCCCTCTGTGGCCTTTGTGCCCCGGTGGAGTTGCACCGCCTGCACACTTGCAGGAAGGCCGCACAACTGGATCCAGCTGCTATTTACCAACAAAAGCCTATCGAATAATCTAAATAGTCTCTTGACATTCTACTGCTGGATGAAAGCCTCCGTGCTCTTTTGGGGGTGGCTCGACACGGGTTCAGCACGGAGGTCGGTGCGGGCTGGTGAGGTTTGGTGGAGGGGTCGCGCGCCTCGGATGTTTCGCCACGGCCTGGAATTGAACTCTGGCGGCGGGGTTCGGAGCGCACTGCGGGAGCCATTGCACCACCGCTCCACTCGACTTGCGAACTCGCCGCAGCGCATCGGATGCCAGCATCGACTGTTCATCATCATCAGCTGCAAACTCACCACTGCATAAGCTGCAGGCATTGACGGTTCAGCATCAGCTGCAAACTCGCAGTGCATCAACTGCGAGCATGGAATTTTTTATCAGCAGCAGCGGTAGCTGTTATCTTCACTTCTTCAAACGAGCCCTTTATCACGCGAGTCGTTGTTGTGCGACGAAACGCGAGCCCGGGACGAATCGCCGATCGACGAGGGGGGAGGGGAGGAGGGAGGGGGAACAGAATCTTCGCGAAAGGTCAAATTCGGCGCGACGGGACCCTAATAAGAGAGGCAAAACAATAATCGGCAACGATTTAAGCAATGGGCCTCTTCACAGCAGAGGCACCAGAGAGTCCGAAATTGGCTTTTGGACACCCCTGCAAACCGAGATGTTCCATCACAAGGGATGATCAATTTCCAATTTAATTAAAATATATATTTACATAGAGATATGAAAAGTTGGCCATTTAAGAGAATATTTAGTATCAGACAACCGATTGAAAGGGGGAATTGAACGATGTCTCTTTCTCTCGTCTTCTTGTCTCTGCTTACTACTGGCAGTGTGTATGGATTGTGTTGCTGATGGGGAGCGGTGGTGTACCGGTTAGCCGGCGACCCGAGTTTGATTCCCGCTCACGGCCAACACCAGTGACCGTTATCTCAACCGGTCCTGGGCCCCCCCCCCTAGGTCGACTCGGCCTCAAATACGTACCTGGTGTGCCGTGTAAACATCGCCATTGGGGAGACAAAGGCGGTCGGGCGTGGTGCTGGCCACCCACCCCCTCGTGTGCCGTGCTGGCCTTCATAGGCGCTCGCAAACAGCACTTGCCCCTCCAGTCTGTTGAGGCACGAGGAGCGACTTGCTCCTTGTGCCCCATGTCAACACGGCTTCAAAGCGGCACCCCAGCGGCAGCTCTCCCTGTGCGCCACGAGGCGACTCTGCACCCACCTGCCCTGCGAGCCACGCGTGAGTCTGCCACCAGGGGGCGGCCACGTGCGTCGTCCAGAACCCTAAGTTCACGTTCGTCCGCGAACCTTTCGCGAGGAGACGGTGATGAGAGTCAAATCCACTGCCTGCTCAGTGGCGGAACGCAACTTAATACCCAAACATAATTGCACGGCATATCCGCGCAATTAGCGACAACTACGATTTCAATTTTCGATTTAAAGCTTTCGTGACTGCAGGGATTCATCTTCTTGGTTCTTTCGGTAACGTCACGTAGAAGGGAAATAATAAATAATAAAAATAAAACATAATAAAATTAAATTCTCACGACGTTTCGGCCACAACACAAGCAGCCGTCGCTGTCTTCCCGACACCTGTTCTTCACCTGAGGACGGCTGCTTGCGTTGTGGCCGAAACATCGTAAGAATTGTATTTTATTATGTTTTATTTTTATTATTTTATTATTTCCCTTCTACGTGACGTTACCGAAAGAACAAAGAAGATGAAATACGATTTCTTAAAAAGGAACCCATTAGAATTCACATAACCGAGATGTGTAACCTTGCCTGCATTTAATTATATCATCCCCTGGCATTTCAACGGTGCCCTTTTAATTACACGATATAAAACAACTCTCCCGTTCTGAATGAACTCACGCGATGATTACAACGACCAGCTGCTGCTGCTGCTGTCGACAACGCTGCCCTGGTCCATGGCACACCGAGTGCGTGCAATCTCAGAGGGCGCCGCGCGTTCCATTCGACCCCCCGTGGGAGACATCTCGAGCTCTGCGACTCTTGAGAGCGTCCTCTGGTGGAGACGCTTCTGCCAGCAGTGCCGTAAGCGGGTTATTGCAGGGCTGCGCATTTTCACCGAATCCTACACGCGGCGGTCACTTTGGCAGTGCGGTGAGCGGTGTCGCCGAACCCCGGGGTGGAGATGGAGGTCACCGCAGGAATCTCTTCACATGCCCCACGTGAGCGTGCGGCGGGCGTCCTCCTGGACTCGCGTGCAAGGGAACGGCTGAGCCGACGACGGTCGCTATGGCGAGTCGCGTTCTCTACCGACGGTGCCACGTGGCGAGGAAGGTGACTGGTTTGGCTCGTGGAATGGCATTTGCGTCCGATGTGTTTCCGAGCTGTACCGCGCGTGTTGTTCGGCATGATGTCTGACATTTCGCTTTGTATGAGACCTACAGGTCTCTGTGTGAGTCTGTGGGTCTCTGTGTGAGTGTGGGTCTCTGTGTGAGTGTGAGTCTCTGTAAATCTATGGGTCTCTGTGTGAGTGTGAGTCTCTGTAAATCTATGGGTCTCTGTGTGAGTGTGAGTCTCTGTAAATCTATGGGTCTCTGTGTGAGTGTGAGTCTCTGTAAATCTATGGGTCTCTGTGTGAGTGTGAGTCTCTGTAAATCTATGGGTCTCTGTGTGAGTGTGAGTCTCTGTAAATCTATGGGTCTCTGTGTGAGTGTGAGTCTCTGTAAATTTATGGGTCGCTGTGTGAGTGTGGGTCTCGGCGTAATTCTATGGGTCGCTGTGTGGGTGTGGGTATTTCTGTGTGAGTCTCTGTGGGAATCTATGGGTCTCTGTGT